GCTCTGGTGGCCGCCGCCCGGCCCCTCCAGCCCGCTCGGCACCGCCATGGTGGCCGGGGACCCGTCGCCGCGGCAACACGGATACTTCCGGTCGCCAACCGGAAGGACTTCCCGCCGCTCCGGCCCGTAGGTGAGATCGGGCCTTACCCCGGGACCCGTCATCCGCCCTCGTTTCCTGGCTGTGGGGAAGCTCTCGCGCTACGTCTGGTTTTGGGGGGGGAAGGGGGGCCTTCTCCTCCTCGGGGCTGGAGGCGTGGGGGTCTGCTTTTTGGGGGCCGGGGGGCCCCAGCCCTCTCGCCGCGCCTCCTCAGGCCGGGGGGCGGAGGGGCTCCCGGCTTCCTTGCCTGGGCCTCGGTCCCCGCGGTTCCGGACCCAACTGCGAGGTTCCGGGGGATTCGTTTCCCGCCCCCGAAGTTTTGGGTGCCGCTCGTCCTAGAGCGAGCTGGGTTGTTGGTGGTGAAGCCTTCACGGCCTGAGGGTGCTGGCAAGGCAAGCAGGATACTTGGCACGAGTGTCTGGTCTTAGGTGAGTTAAAATACTACCTGGAAAAACACTCTTCCAAGCCCTGAGAAGGTCTTAGGAACCTAGAAGCTTGGGGTCTTTTCCCTGTCTAATAGAAAGTATTACTGTTTTGAGAGGGGTTGTTTTGGTCAAAATGTCCTGAAATCGTGAACATTCCTCTGAAGCTGAGTTTTAGAAATGTATCAGGGTTTCTTTTCCCTCAAAGCTGAACCTCTTCCTCATAGAAGCAAAGACTTGAGTCCAGCTCTGGGTTTGTCTTTCCAGAGGATTGTGTTTAATGCCAGGATGAGAAGGTGACCCTAGAGAGAAGACACAGCCAAGTGGGACCATTTTCAACTCTTCCAGGCTTAACCTGATGGGTTTGTTCTGGTTTGTGTGTGAGAAACCTCTAAGCAAAACATGATGTGCTGCACAAAGAGGAAACCTTCAAGTTGGCATCGACTTAATGCTGCAGCTGGGTGGACAAGGCTGTTGGGATATACAGCGATTTGAAGGTTTGTTTGGGCTACAAAGAACCAAACTTATTGCTAGCCTGGGCCAGTAGTTAAAGCTCCAAAGTTTGCTTTTGGAAGGCTTGTGGTGGTAAAACTACAGTTACGCCCATATTGAACTTGGCTAGTTAATCTTTATTAATCAGCTATTTCCAGCTGAAGCTGGGTTGGGGGTTTTCCTCCTGTGGCTGTATGGAACCTGGTGTCAATCAGCTGCTTTATCTCTTCTCATCCTTGACTGCATTTCAGCCCTGGCAGGAGAGGCATTTTCCTCTTGGGAATGCGCTTAAGAAATACCTGGGAAATAAAGGTACCATACCTGCTTATGTTGACTGAACAGGAAGGAGGTCCAAAATGTTAAAGCAGTTGAATACTTCCTATTATAAGAACTCAGCTTTAGTGGTTTCTAAGGTATTCAAGCAGGATTTTCTTAAGTAGCTTTTTGGTGGTTTCTAACTTTGGTTTTTCTGACCTTGTGGGTTGCAATTCTTGTTTCTAGGTGCCTTCCTCAGGGCAAATGTTTTTGGAAGGCAACAACAAAAAAAAGAACTCCAAACCAACAAAGACAGTGAGCAAAATCTTAAGTTGTTGTGATTGTGTAACACTGTTCTAAGCAACCTCCCTCTTTCTTATTGGTATTCTGCAGTTGCAACCAAACTTCCCACCAGGCCTATGGAGCCACGAGGGATTGTCAAAGCCTTTCCCAAGAGGAAGAAAGTGAGGGATGACTCGGGGAAAAGTGTCCCTCCAAAGATCTCTAAAGAGGAAGGAACAGAGATACCTGAGGGTAAGTCCTGCATGCTCACGATGTGGAATGTTATGCTCCTACCTCTGCTTGTTATCTGGAGGTGCTGTTCCCCCAAAGACTCTCTCTGGCCCCTACGTGTGTTTTCTGATCATGACCAGCTTGCTTTGCTGTGTCCAGCTGGTCCCCCACAAAGACTGCCACTGTTGGTGCCATCAAGTCCTATGGGAGATACGTAGCCCTGTTGGTTTGGGACACTGTTTCTCTTGTCACTGAGTTCCTGCCCCTGTGTTTCCTCAGCAGATTGGCTGAAACCAGTCACCGCCTATGTGTTGCAAGCTGGCATCGGCCAAGCCAGGGCGGATATCTTCCACAAGCAGATTGTCCAGAATGGGGGTGTTGTGCATGACCAGCTCTCCTCAGAGGTGACACACGTCATTGTGGCTGAAGACATGGACTGTGATCGGGCCTTTCGGCTCCTCAAATTAACCAAACTACCTTCAGGATTGCAGCTAGTGAAGGCATCCTGGCTAAGTGCTTGTATTAGAGACCAGAAGCTGCTGAGTACCGCTGGCGCTGGTGTCTTTATCCCTCACAGGTATGCAAACGTCATTCCTCCCTGCAATGCTTCTGTCCTAAACTGAACAGCACTAGAATTTGATCTCTGCTCAAATCTTGGACTGCAGCTCCTTGCAACTCCTGTGGGCATGACTCAAAGTCATTTTTCCCCATACAGACTGTGAAATATAGTGACCTTGTGATGAGTTGCCATTCTGCAGGGTAGCAAAACATAGAATAGAGCCCAGAAGTGCTAGCAGGATTTTTTTCACTTGCTACACGTGCTAAAGGCACTATTTCCGAATCCATAAGTGATAACAAGGAGGTTTCTTTTGAAAATGCTGAGGATTAAATGCTGTTTCTTACTTACTGCAGATGAAAAGTAGAGAGACAACTGACAACTAGGCACAAGAGGAAATAAGGAACAGAGCAGCAGGCAGCCACAGGTTAGAATCAAAAGATTTTTGGCGAAGTTTTGGAGAACGAGTCTAAGAGTGAGGTAGATAAGAGTGAAAGTTTCAAGTCAGAGAGGTGGATGGAAGTTGGGAGATTGAGCCAAAACCAGAGGTATTAATCTGTTATCTGAGACAGTACAATTCAGATTGTTTGCTCCATCCCAAAACGTGCAGAAAGAATTTCTCATTCAAACTTCTGGTGCCTGAGAAGTCCTCCTCCTCCTGTGCTAAGGCATCTGATCCATGGCAGGTACCTGGAGGAAGAAGAACTGCAGAAAGAACAGCAGCAGCAGGTCCCCAGCAGTGAAGAGGTCCAGCCCTCAGCAGAGGAGGGAGCAGTGAAACCAAATACCAAAGCGCGGGTGGAGGATTCCTCGCAGCGAGGCCTGGGCACCCTTGGGCAGCAGCAGCTGACTGAGGTGAGGCTTCCCACAGACCCTTCTCCTTGTGAACAGATCGTGCTTGCTGCATTTCCTGGCTAAGAGCATCCCTGCAGGGGTACAATGCCATATTTTCTCAGCAAAGGGAAGGCGTTTGTTGTTTCAGTGGGATGGTGCTGGCAGACTCAGGCTGTGGACATCATTACTGCTTCTCTTTGTCCCTTTTAGGTGCTAAAAGTAGAAAAAACACCTCTTTAAATTCCTGTCCCCATTAGAACATTTCCAGCTGAAGCAGTATTGGTGCTCTGATCAGATCAAGTCTCACTACGGTGATCACATTTCCCCTGTGTCCTTTTGAGGAATATTCCCTGGCTGAGAATATCTCCCTTTCAGGAACCTGTCTCTGATATTTCATCCTGCCTGAGCTGTACTGACCCATTCTCCACTCCTTGGCAAGCACCCTGTTAAAACACATGCGTAGTGGATCAGGTTGCCACTCAAATGATTGTGGTGGTGTGCTTAAAATATCTGTGTTGGGTTATTAATGGTGTTCGTTGTGAGTCAGCTTCGCTGACCTGCTGTTAACTTTCTTTCCTTTCTCTCTATTTTTTGCTCGAGTTTGCTAATTTCTCTTTGGGCATTGACATCATTCGAATCTATCTGTAGCAAAGGTACCCCAGACCTCATAGAGCAGTAGCTGCCGTGCTGGCATCTGTTTTCTAACACAGTCACAAAGTTTGTTTCCTAAAACCCTGTAGTTACTCCCTAACTGACAGCCCACTGAGGGCTCCTTTGTTTCAGGCTTTCTCTTGAATATGCGTAGGGGAAGGTCTTTTTTCCCCAGACTGATTACCCAGTGTGCTATAGGCAGAGCTGGCTGCTTCTTAACTGCATCACCTTTGCAGTTACCCCATCTTTGCTGTTTCTTGTAACTCTAATTTAGTGGCATTTGTTATTAACAAATCTCACACTTGGTGGGAGAAAGGATCTTTTGTATTGTTACAGATCCTGTGGTATCTGCCCTGCTTTCTGCTCTCTTACTTTGGGTAGTCAGACAGCTACCAGAGTCTGAAGCATTACTGCCTTTTCTTTTAAATCTCCTCAAGCAACGATATTTCCTGTTAGTCTTTATACAAAAGCAATATTTGTAGACACTTCAGTAAAATACTGTGTCCCAAGCTGAGGACTATGGGAGTTTGGGGAGGAGAAGAGAATGCACGGGATACGCTTTAAAGACAGTACCAACTGCTTTTAAGACCCAGCTACAACAGTAAAGCTGCACCTGAAATCTCAGCTTAGAAGTAGCCTCCATTTAAGCATGGAGTCTTTTCTAGCTTGGATGGATGTTTTTTTCTCTAGGAGATGGTGTGTGTGCCAGTGTTTCATACTGAACAGGAGCTGCTCTGGGAGCTCTGCATTTGGATGTAAACTCCTGTGAGGAAACCTTGTTATCAGACTGTAGCAACCACTGTTTGACTGGCATCTGGATGCAGTAGCCTTTGCAAGCCGTGCTGGTTATTCCCTGACTGAACCCTGGCCTCCCTCTCAAGTGGCGAATTGCCTTGGGTACTGGGCTTCAGCTGCTACCCTATCTCCTGTGCTGTGCTCCAGACAGACCATGCACATCCCAGTCTCACCCAGCTCTAGTTGGGTAGGATTCTGGAGGATCTTAGAAGCTAATGGGACTAGTTGGTTCTGCACATGTGGTTGTAAAGAGTCCATCAGCTTTGTTGGCAAACGTGAAGGGTCGGGGATTTATGTGCTATTTTACCTATGTGATATGGCTGGCCAAGAGGATGGGAATTGCGTGCTCCAGCTGCAGAGTTGTTTGCATTGTGCTTGCCTAACATGCTCCTTACATTTTTTTTAAGGAGCTTACTAACCGATCTGAACACTCTGAGGCTTTGCTGCCCTTATAGGTAACAGTGTCTTAAGGGAGTTGCGTTTCAAGGCAAATACAACAGCTTTAGTCTATCAAGTCCTCAGTCTGACCTAGTTTTCAGAGTTACAAAACAAGATCACAAAAGGGAAACATCCTGCCTGTTCTGCTTAAAGACTTCAGCTCTGTATGTTGCAGGAATTGTGTCTCCAGACCTCCTTAGCCAGCAGAACCGGGGGTTGTTAGGATATGGCTCTGACTTAGGCTGATGCTCTGCAGAAACTTGTAGCAGGACTTGTGTGGCACATGTAATTGCTGGACTGATCCCAAAGAGCCCTGTGCCATTCAGGGTTACTTCCACAGTACAGGAGCTCTTGGATCTTCCTGGACTGCTGTGTTTGTACATCGGGAAAGAGGGGGACCCCAGTGAGTAAAGCAGTCTACAAAGCCTCTGTGTGCCTTCCCACTTCTATCCCCTTTTGTTCATTACCTGAAGCCAAGGCTCATTGTTTCTTAAGTCCACACAGAGGCATCCTAATGCTGAGGGTATCAGCAAATGTATACATTGGTTCTTTCTTCTGTCACTGAGGAATGTGGAGTCCTTTGTGTCATTCCTTCCTTCCCCTTTTCTCTTGCAGATAGCCATAGGGAAAATGGGGGGGTTGTAATTTACTACCGTGTTAAGATTTGTGTCATGAAAACAGAGTCCAGTGTGTATCTCCTGTGATCTGCGTCATGGGATGGAAGATGCAGAGACTGAATGTGAGATGTGTGTCTGCAGCCACCCGACCAGCCAAAGGTTTCCCAATGGGAGCAGGAAGTCAGGATCTCCCCCAGCCAGGGATTTCAGCATTGTCTTACCATGCTGCTGGCAGCAGTTGCTCATGTATCCAGTGTCTTACCTCGGAGCTTGGCTATAGGAGGTGTGTGTGTGCTCGGCTCACAGGTGAACAGCAGTTTCTCGTCTCCTGTGCTTTGTGAGAAGTGCATGTAGCTTCAAGGGGTGCGTGCCTAGCTTGGGGCAAGAAGACCTATAGTGGGCATATAACCAAAAGCTTCTGGAGACAGCAATTTGAGCACTGCATGCCCTGGAGGTTGGTTAGTGCTCTGACTTCCTGCTCTCAGGAGCAGCCTGTGCCAAGGGGACATATGTGAGGCATGCACTTATTCTCACATGGCTGCTTTTCTACCTATCCCTAAAGAAAGTCTCTGATGATGAAGACAGTGAAGGAGAAGATGCTGGTGTCACCCAGGGAGATCTGGAAGCATTGATTTCTGGCCACTACCCCGTGAAATCATCAGAGGAGACCAGTGACAGCTCTTCTGCAGTGGGCCAGCCTGCCAGCAAGTGGGTTTGTGCCCATTCCTCCAACAGCAAGAAGGAGAATCACAACCAGTGCATCACAGAGAAGCTGGAAGTGCTCGCAAAGGCCTATTCTGTCCAGGGGGACAAGTGGAGAGCTCTGGGCTACTCCAAAGCCATCAATGCACTCAAGAGCTACCACAAACCAGTCACCTCCTACCAGGTAAAACACCTTCCCAGGGTGGTGGAGCAGGGAGATAGACCCAACATCCTAGCTCTGTTAAGAGCCAGATTAATTTTGTATGTGGAATAGCTTATCTTCAGACCTTGGTAATTCCCTCCTGTGGTTTTGATAGAAGTTGTGGAGCAAGTGCAAGTTGTATTTATTGACCGTCTGTGGTGTTTTCAGTTGAGCAGAAAAGGGGAGTCTGAGTCTTTTAGGGCCAGGTCTGAGCACCCATGAGATAAATATCTTCTCTAGGGTCAATGTAGGGACGTTCCTTTTAAACGTCAGCAACTGCCACCATTGGAGATATTATATAAAACTAACTGGATCCAGGCCTGATTGGTTGTGTCAGTCCAGCCATTCAGTGTGTATTAGTCTTTCAGTCCTTATGTGCATTCTTGTCCTTTTCCATTTGACATTGAATTGCTGTAGCCTATGTAACCTGGCCTAGAGAAGAGCAGCAGTCAGAACTAGTCCTCCCACTTATCAATCACTCATCAAATGGCTGACCAGGCTCAGTGATAGCAGCTCCCTAGTTTGTCTGTAGTCTTTGCTTTTCCAGTAGTGGCTCTGGTTTCTTGCTAGGAAGCCTGTAAAATCCCTGGGATTGGGAAGCGAATGGCAGAGAAGATCCTGGAGATCTTGGAGAGTGGGCATCTGCGCAAGCTGGATCACATCAGTGAGAGTGTTCCTGTGCTGGAGTTGTTTTCCAACATCTGGGGAGCAGGGGTCAAGACAGCTCAAATGTGGTACCAGCAGGTAAGTTCAGTGCCTTACACAAGAGGTTCTCAGACCAGAGTTTGAAGACTGCTGCTGAGTGCAGGAGAATTACTTTCACAAATTGTTTCCAACTGCCAATATCCACAGAGTCCATTTGAGTCTGGATTTATGAGAGGAGCTATGAGGCTGGATCCCACTGTGGGTGTGTTTGAGGAGAATGGAATGCTCCTAGCTGAGACCTGAGTTTGAGTGGAGGATAGACAACAGAGGCAGGCAATAGGTGGAGTAGGGGACACACTGGCCTCTTCTGTTAGCATCGCTGCTTGGAGCTCACTCACACCGCTCATTGCAGTGGCACTGGTAAGAGCCAGGCTTAAGCCAGGACATCTTGATTGTGAAAGCTCCTGATCCAGTTGTTGGCCTGGCTGGCTCCTGTAGCTGTCAGAGCATCTGTCTGCCTTGTCTGGCAGTTGAAAAAATGAAGTTTTGAAAGTAATTTTGAAAAAGTAATTGTGCCAGTGTGAGCAACCCAGGCCACTGAGTGGGTTCTTCTTTAAAGAATTTGTTTCCTGAGCACAGAGCTAATGATGCCTGGCTTTCCTGTAATGTTTCATTTGTGCCTGGATTCTTTGCTATCTTAAAAATATGATTGTGCTCATACTGTGGGCTTTCATTGGGATATTCTGGGTGGTGGTCCTTTACCTGTATAACTTGTTTTCCTTCAGGCTGTAGGAACACAGTGCCTTAAGAACAGTAGCCTTCTGTCAGGTTTAGTTAAGACTCAAGGTCATTGTAGGGTGGAGATTAGGTGTGTGTGGGTAGTGGAATTGCCTAAATCCCTACTTTTAGGAACCAGGCCCTAAGTCATCACTACATGTGATCTCAGAAGCTGTGGCAGGCCTGGACTTGAGACAGGTTAAATAGAATCTCCCCAAATCTTGTTTGAAAGTATTTGAAGAGCAGAGTCTCGGTAGATGTCTGAATATCATCACATGGTCTGCATTAGGGTTTCCGGACGCTGGATGATATCCGCACCAAGGCGACTCTCACCAGCCAGCAAGCTGTGGGGCTGAAGCACTACACGGATTTCCTGGAGCGCATGCCTCGGGAGGAAGCTGCAGAAATAGAACAGACCGTGAGTAGCTCGGCCCTGGGCCCTCAGAGTGGAGTACCTGCTGGGACCTGACATGAGGGTGCATGCTGTGGAAATGTCCCTTGCTGTTATAGCTGAACTCAGTGCCTGGAGGACCCTTTTTGGGCATGAGCACACAAGGCACCTACTTAGCCCCATAGGAAGATTCAGTTTAAGTGCCTGGCAGAAGGAGGATACTTCACAGGTGTCAGTTCTACACACTGCTTTGTAAAAGGCTGCATGTGGCCTGGTGGGATGAGCAGGTTTCCAGCTCCTCTTTCCTGCCTCTCTTCTTCTCCAAGATACCTGGTTTCAGCTGATGCCCCTAAGCTGCCTTCCTGGTGCTGCTTTTCCAAAGGAAGCTGTGAGCACCCTTTGAGCTGGTTGTCAGTGGGGAGACTGAGCATGGATATCCCTGCTGGAAGTGAAGGGGATTCAGGCTGCAGATGGGTGCTGCTTGGTCTGCTACACCATTGCACTCCAGGATTATGGGGTGCTAAGCCAGTGTACCCTAATGTAAGCAGAGAGCTTGGGGTTCACACCATCATTGCTGCCCCTGTGCTCTCTGATCACCATGGAAGCAGCAGCCAGCGTGACCCTGTCACTCGGCCACAGGGCCTGGCCACAAAGAATACACTCCTGCCAGGCTCCTGCTGGGGTGTCAGTCCTGTGTGCTGGATTAGCCATTTTGGTGGTGAGTGGTCCCTTTCCCAGGCAGGCTGGGTCGAGGAACTGGCTCTTGGGAGTGGGTCTATTGTTACCTTGATGGGATTACTGCGCTCCCCTCCATACACACGCATGCACCTCTGATCCAGGCCCAGGAGAGAGAATGAGGGATTAGTTACTGTCTGTGCTGCCTGTCACAGTGAGATCTGAGGAGCTTTTAGGCGCTCGGGTGGGACTGGGAGTTTTCTAGAAATCTTCATTTAAAGCCAGAAGGGGGGCAAGGACACCAGAGGAGGGCTTGCTCCGCATGAGAAAGGCTTGTGGCTTCTTGGAGCACCTCTGGGGCAAAGGTTAATGGGTTTATCTCTTGCTAATGAAGGATGATCCCGAAGAGTGACAAGGGGCTGTGAGCATGGACACTGCCTTCCTGAACCCCAGCCTCTGTGATGGCCTCATCACAGGGAATTGCTGAGCCCCTGATTATTTGCTGCCAGCAGAATGATTGGCACAATCAGACCAAGATTACTTTACTCCTGTCCAAGGACTTAGGAGCCTTTCTTAAGCATTTAATGAATGAAGCCATCAGAATTAGCACTGTCTATGCAAAATGGGAGCTGGGGTCCAGCCTGGAGGTAGCTGCGTTACGGGAAGTTCTGGTTATAAGTGTCTGATTGCTGGCAGCGGCATGTTGGCATCCATTCGGTCTGAAATGCTGTGACTTTTGTGGGGTTTTTTCTGGGTCATGAAGCCCAGCTCTCCTGCAAAGGCAAGAGCTTCTGGCAGGAGTGGGCTTCAGGGAACACTTGCAGATTTTCTGCTGTCTTGGGTCCTGCTGCGGAGACTGATGAGCCCATCTCTGCTTATGAAATAGGACCTGTGACCATCTTGTGTTGAACTGATTCTCTCTGTAGGCAGAGCTGGTAAGCATTGCCCTCCTGATCCACGGGAGAGCTGAAGAACATCTTCTCTCCTGCTGTCTCAGACACTGAAGGCTCTGAAAGATTGTGCTGTACTTTGCCTCCTCAGCATTGCTGCATCTTCATTCTTGTCCCAGTCTAGCTCCAGCCCAATGCCCCTAAGAGCTGGTGACTGATGGTAACACCATGGTAGATCATTGTATTGCATGGCAGCCTGCTGGGCATTTACAGGACTGGCTTGGAGGCCACCCCAGCTCATGTGGCTCCTGACATGGCCAGCTTCCTTGGTGGAGCAGTTTGCCACGCCTGCCAAGTATCTGCTCTGTATTGATACCCTGGAGCCACAGGGCAGGCTGCAAAGCAGGCACAAGATCCTTTGCTGTTTGGTGGAAAGAGCATGAGAGACTGATCTCTGACTCCTCGTCCCTCTTTCTCCTCTTGGAGGTCAGACAAGCTGCCTTGGCCCTGAAGCCTGGGCTCGTGTGTGTGGCATGTGGCTCCTACCGTCGAGGGAAGTCCACCTGTGGAGATGTGGATGTGCTGGTCACTCACCCAGATGGGCAGTCTCACCGTGGGGTGTTCAGCAAGCTGCTTGACAGCCTCCACAGGAGTGGTAAGAGGCCTGGGGACTGTCACCTGGTGCTCAAAGCTGTTCTTAGCATGGCCACACTGGGGAGGTAATGAGGTGGATGGCCTTCATTGAAGGACAGGTGATCACTTTTCCTAAGAACAGGACTTCTTGTAAGTCCTTAAAGTGTTGCCCCTGGTCCTGGCCCTGCTCCAGTGGCAGCTCTGCAGCCAATGTTAAGAAGGGACAGGAGCATGGCTGCTTCTGTCTGCGTGAGGCTGTCAGGGCTGGAGCTGGCTTGCCCTTGGGGTCCCACAGCCCATTATGAGATGCCTTAGCTGTGGTCTGGACAGTGGGGCGTTCGGAGGATGGGGTGTCACTCTCTGCCATTCAGCTCCTCTCTGCCTGTTTCTTCTCCCCAGGCTTCCTTACGGATGACCTGGTGAGTCAAGAGGACAATGGTGATCAGAAGAAGTACCTGGGGGTGTGCCGCCTCCCTGGGCCAGCCCGGCGTCACCGCCGGCTTGACATCATTGTGGTGCCTTACAGTGAGTTTGCCTGCGCCCTGCTCTACTTCACCGGCTCTGCTCACTTCAACCGCTCCATGCGGGCCCTGGCTAAGACCAAGGGCATGAGCCTCTCGGAGCACGCCCTCAGCTCAGCCGTGGTGCGAGGCCCTGGAGGCGTCAAGATGGCACCTGGCCATACTCTACCCACTCCCACCGAGAGAGACGTCTTTGTTCAGCTGGGGCTGCCGTACCGGGAGCCCTCAGAACGAGACTGGTGATACCCAGTTGTCACCCCACACCCTGAGCCTACTGCCACGCTGCTGTTTTGAAGGGTGCTGGTTTCTCTGGTGCTGCTCTGTGGTGACTGCAGGATGGGGAATGTATCCCAGCACACAGGGGCTCCTCACAAGCGCAGGGCCTTGCTGTTCGCAGAGCTGCGTGGCTTCACTCAGCAGAGGCCATGGGCTGGAACCACACTGGAAGTGCTGCCCAATGCCACAGGCAGCCCTTGGCTACCAAAAGGGCTTGCTGCCCATCAGCTATCATGGCCTTGCTCTCCCTGGGGAAGCTTTATAAGGCTGGGTTGCAGAGCCTTATGATCCAGCCCCCTCCCAGTGCTTGGGGACAGGGGAAGTGGGGTGTGTCTTGCCCTCTGTCTGTGCACAAACACCCCAAAATCTCTGGCCTGAGCTGTGTATGAAGGCAGCCAGGGTCTGACTTGGCCCTGGAACAGGGCTTTCCCCTTCTCACTGCTGCTGGCAATTGCTACTGTGGGAATTGTGCAGGGTCCCCTTGTACTGCTGGCTGTGTGCTCCCTCCATCTGAGCTGACTTGTGTCCTCTGGTGGGTCTCACTGCACGGGGCTGGAATGCTGTGACTGCCACCAGCTTCCCCTGGTGCCAGGTAAGCCTTGAAGGAGACATAAGGACCCCGTGTGCTGTGCCTGCTTGCTCTGAGCCTGTCATGTGCTGAGGATCCTCCAGTGCAGAGATTCCGTGGTGTGGTCCCAAGGGCTGCTTTCCTCTCAGTACAGGAGAGGAGTGGACTTTGAGGCTCAGGGAGATGTGCTCAGGAAGGATTTGAATGTGATGGCACTGAATGTAACCCAACAGGGCTGTGTGTTTGTGCACAGGAGGCAGAGAGAAACACAAGGAGTTAATTTAGTTTTGATTTGGGTGAAGCAAAGCTTTCCCTTTGCATGTGTGGAAGCCATGGAGTCATCTGGTCTTTGATCAGAGAGTGTGTGTGTGTATTTGAGTGTATGTGTACATGTGTGCTGGCCCTGTGTTCCATGGGAGTGAATTTTATTTCTCAGGAAACCTCAACTATTTTTATATTCTGTAGATGAAGGTCCCAGAGACTTGCAGTGCTGTCTCCATTACAGGTATTGCAGTGGTTCCTCCTGGCAGAGGTGCTGCTCTGCACCATCAGCTTCCAGGAAGGCCACGGTGGGTGCGCGTGTGCTGCACTCTGCTGTGTCTTTGTCACATGCAGTGACAAACTGTGTGTTTGCTGCCAGGGCAGGCGCAGGGGCATTAAACCTGCTGGGTTTGCACAGTTTCTTGCTGCAGTGTCAGCCGTGGCTGCTGGGCACTGGTAGTGGGGCTGGAGTATTTGCTGGGCAGACCTTGACCCTGGCAGTGTCATTTGTCAGCCCAGCCTTTCTACTGAATGCCTGATGGAAATGAATGTCTTCTGGCACATCTTGGTGCTTTGAAATGTGAAGTATAATAAATCCCCTCTCTGCTTTTCCTTCGTATCCCTGTCTTTTTGCTCTCTGTCCCGCAACTGCTGGGACCTTTCCCTCTGGCTGACCAGGAGCCCCTCCTGTGCTGGCCTGACTCCCTGTTTTCAGTACAGACAGGGAGAAGGCAGTGGAGACCCTCATGCTATTGAATCACCACTTCTGGCTCTCAGGGCAGGGAACTGCTGGTTGGCTCCCATGGCACAGTGGGAACTGGCTCTGTCCTGGCATCCAGCTGTCCCTGGGGCTGTCCGTGCCCTGAGAAAGGAGCAATTTCCAAGCTCTTATCCCTGGGCTGAGCACTTACGTCATGTGTGGTGAAAGGAAGGGATTGCTGTCAGCATTTCTGTATTTCATCAAAGAGTAGGGCATGTGGGAGCTGGCTGCTGCTTTGTCTCCTGTGCCTGGAACATGGCTCAGTCTCCTGAGCATGGAAATGCTTTGGTTTTGCAAGGGAAATCTGAACAGTCTGGAGGCCAAGAGACCACGTGGAGATGAGCAGCAAGAAACATGGGCTCAAAAGGAAAATGGAGAAATTGGAGAGTGTCAGGGGCTGCTGGGATGGGCAGAGGCTGGGGCAGAGCCTGGGTTCTCCAGTGGCAAAGGGGATTCAGCCCCTAGACCAGGCCTGGGAGGTCCAGAAACAGCACTCTCACCCCAGGAGGGCTGTGCAGCCCAGGGACCAGCCCCAAAGAGGAGGGGTTCCACATCGGCCAGCCAAGCTTGGCTGGGCAGGGCCACAGCTGGCCTTGTCCAGGGCTGGGGATAGTCCTGCTTCACAGGGAGGTTGCATGGGGGCTCCCTGTCCCTCCAGCGCTGCTGGGATGATCCTGGAGGATTACTCCTAGAGCCTTATGGCTGGGGCTGCCCCTCTCGCCAGGGCCACATGCTGGGGACATCACTGGAGATGGGGAAGAAATGGCACTGCTCAGCCCCCGCTCCTTCCCCTTTGTCAACCTCCTCTTCAGGGATGCAGTTCACACTCTGGTGCCAATCGAGTGCTGCAGCAGGGCATCAAAGCCCTGGCCCTGTTGTTTGTGCTGCTTTTGCTCGGCGGGAGGCCAGACACAGAGACATGCGGGGCTGGGGCTGCTCACCCAGCCCCTTAGGAAATGGCATTAGGGTGGTCCCAGTGCACACATGTCATGCGGGGGCTGCTAGGGGAGAAGTCCTGCCAGCCCCCTGCTCTGTGAGGGAATGGGCCTGATGTCTGTCTGTCTGTCCCCTCCCACCCCACGAATCCCTGCCCGGGAGCTTTGGAGGGGACAGAGGGCCCTCCTGTGGCCAAGGATGGATGGGGATCACCTGCCCTGGGTGCAGCTGCGGCAGAAGCAAAAACACAGGAGGCGAAGCAGCAAGACCAGGCCTGGCCAGAGCAGCTGGGGTGACATTTCTGGATGCTGAAGGCTCCTGCTTCCCTCTTGTCCAAGTACAAGGGGAGAAACATGAGGAACTGGACTGGACTGCCCATGGTAAGTCAGCTCCTCCTGCCCTGGATGGAGAGGACAGCTATCAGCTCCTATCAGCTCCTCCTTGTGCCCCCAGTCCTGCTCTCCATCCTCCTGGTCACTTGCAGACCCCAAGCCAGGGGCTGACTCCAGCCCCGCATCCCCTGAGGCCATGTTCTCCTCCAAGGTTCCTCTTTTGCTCTTGCAGCAGTGCAGGATGTAGGCATTCCCATAGTCCAACATCATTTCTGCCTCTTCTACAGCCCGGGAAGGGCTGGGGCTCCTGGGGTGCCTGGGAGGAGGTGGGTGCTGACTGCCCAGGATGGGTGCAGGTAGGGTGAACAAAGATGGGTTTAGACATCTCTAATGAGGTGTCACCTGCTTCCCAGGAAGGGGCTTCAGCTATTCCCCCTCCCCAGCACACCCCCTTTCTGGCCTCCCTGGCTGTGAGGCTGATCATCCTGAAAATTAAAAATAAACCCAAATGCAGCAGCACTTACAGACTGAGTGGGAAGTCGGGGAGCCGGGTTGGAGGCTCAGCTCCTGCTGCAGACCCCTCACTCTCCCCCACTGCTCCCTGCATCCCCAAGGTGGGTCCAGACTGGGGGTTCAGGCAATTCCTGTCCTTCCATTGGGCATCTTTCTGCCCCCTAGGGCAACAGGACGAAAAAACCTGAGTCAGGCTGCTGCAGCTCTGAGCATTAGGCAGCTCTTCCCACCCTGCTCCCTGCCCTGTGTGGAGGACACCTATCTTTAGCCATCATGCTTGTCCTTGTACAGGGGTGGGAGGGTGCCTGGGCTGGGGGAAAAGGGGCGCAAAGGAGGTGGTTTGGCTTCTAAGGCTGCCACTTCGTATTCATGAGTAAATATTTGCTAATGACAGCATGGCTGGGTGAATGTAGGGGAGCTGCTCCCCCCGCCGGAGCAGGCAGGGAAATGAATATGAATTTATCATGATTAGGTGAACCCAGCAGGGAGAGCGTGCGAGAGAGGGCTAGGCAGGGAGGGGGTGGGTGAAGATGGATCTGTGCAATAAAATTAAATAAGGACACCAAATAGAGTCACTTCTCACGTGCCTGCCCACCCTCCCGCATGCAGGGCCTCTCCCGCCTCCTGTGGTCCTCTGGCTTTGCTGATTTCTCTCTTTCCTCAAATTTATGAGACCAATTATGAAGATGAGGTTGGAAGTTCTCAGAAGTTCACTAAATGCAAAGTGCGGTCCCTGCTGTTCCCATCAAATTAATTAACCAAGCGCTATTGATGGCCGGGACGAAGTCGGCGTGGCATGGAGTGTGAGGGAAGAGCTGCTGGGGTGCAGGCAGGGAGCAGAGCTCCCTGCAGGGCATCCCCAGGGCCAGTGAATGCAGAGCGGGAGCCCTGCCTGGGCAGCCAGTGGGTGGCAGGAGTGAGGGACACAGCAGGGGATGCACCAGGTCCCAGCATCCATGCTCAGCATCACAGTTCCCGTTTCCAGCATCTGTGGTCTCTGGCTGGAGGAAGACCCACCCGGGTGGTGGCAGGGCTGCCCTGATGGGAAAGTGACACGGATCTGTGGCAGGATGCTGTGCCATGACCCATTCTGGAGGCCGTGGCGGGGGCTGGTGACCAGCGTGAGCCTGTGCCTGCAGGGGCAAAGCCTGGAGTTGGTGACCCCTCAGGCACCCCAGGATCATCCCATGGCCTGGAGTAGCTGTGCTGCCTCTCAGCTGTAGGGAATGGCTTTTGGGGAATCTGACATGACCCCCGTGTCTGCTGTGTCCCACGGTGCTGAGATGCTTCCTCTGTGCTTGCTGCATGTGTGAGCAGCCGGGATGCTGCTGCAGAGCTACTGCAGCGTGGGGGATGCGAGTTCCCAGGCTGCTCAGATTCAGCTCAGACACTGAGCAAATGACCCACCTTTTGCCTGTCTCTGGGGGGAAAATTCACTCAAAGCAGTGTATATGTTGCTCAGATAAGTCTCTCAGCGCTGGCTGTGCTACAGCAAGTGCTTGAGGTTGTAAAAGGTACAGTACTGAGGCCTTGAATCAAACCCAGGATATTTCCACTTGCTACACTGCCACCTCAAGCCTCGGTTTCCCTTCTTGCATTTCCTGAGGCTGTTTGCTCTTTGGGCAGGATCTGGTTTTCACTGGGTGCAGACAGCATCCCACTTCCTAAGAAGCATTGGTAGCATTT